AGATTGGCTGGCACAGGAGTTAAGAGACGGCTGTGAGCTACCGCGTGAACAATGGAAACTGAACCTGACATCTTCCCTTCCCTTGCTGTGGTGCCTCTCACAGTGGCTTCTAGCCCAGCCCAACATATTCCGCTGTATAGGTCTTAGCCTTTCCCACTCCTTTCCCTTTATAAGTATGACCTTTAAGGGGAGGTGGGGTGGCTGGGGAAAAGCCTCAGCTGCTGTTGAAAAAAGCCCAGACAACTAATAGGCACTCCCAGCTGGTGTATTGAAAGCAAGATGGAAACCCTACACCTTTCCTAACAGGGACATTGATTTGGGTTTGTGCTCCTGGAGTTTCACTAGTCTTTATGAAGTTGTCCATCTGGGATGTCAAGGAGCACTTGGACACAGAGAGGAACAATGTCACAGAGGTCTGGACCAGGACAAATTCCTACTTTAGTTCTCTCTCTCTCTCTCTCTCTCTCTCTCTCTCTCTCTCTCTCTCTCCCTCCCTCCCTCCCTCCCTCCCTCTCTTCTTCTTCTTCTCCTTCTCCTTCTCCTTCTCCTTCTCCTTCTCCTTCTCCTTCTTCTTCTTCTTCTTCTTCTTCTTCTTCTCTCTCTCTCTCTCTCTCTCTCTCTCTCTCTCTCTCTCTCTCTGTGCGCACACGTGTGTTCTTGCGTACAAGATAGGTATTTAGACTATCCAGCAACTCTCTCTCTGCTGGTGGAGCCCATTTAATAATGCTTGCCTGTGTCTGATCCTCTTTCTTCACTCCTGTTTCAGGCTCCGCCCCTTCCCAGCAGCAGCTTCTGACCCTCCTGCTTTGCCCAGGCTCACAGAACTATCTTGACTCAGCTTAAAGTCATTTTTCTTTGACTTTTGCTCTGGATAACACCCATCCTAAGTGGATAGTGGTCTAAGTGGATAGTGGGTGGAGGGCAGAGGGATGAACACATACCAAAAAGAAATGAGTGTCTTTTTGAGTAGAGCCTAGAAGATACGGAGCCCACAGGAATGCTACTAACACCTTTCAGTCTTTCTTGGGGTAGAAGGGGCAGAGCAGCTTTTTAGTGGGGCTACAAGGTCTGTAGCACACTGGGAGCAAGACAAGGGTTCAGTTAAGGATATGAGTGGCAGGCATTCAGTCAAGACTGCTGGTCTTGGCCACTTGTCTAGCAAACAATGGGATGTCCAGAAGGTCTGCTGAACACACTAGAGATTTGATTACATTGATGACAGCCTTGCATGTAGTTTGGGAAGCAGAAGCCTGCAGGATGCACCAGCCTGATGCAGTTGGGGACAACAGATGATATCAGTGTTCTGAAACATGCAAGAAGCTGATGGGCTGGCCTGCAGTTTGTACCAGGAACACCTATTGAAGAGGAAAGTGATCTGCAAAATCAATGGTTCTGGAATCTTGGATTGTTCCATCCTTAAGGGGTAGGAGTGGAGATAGGACACGAGGCGAGAGGCCTTCCTGGGAGGAATTTGGTCAAATGATGGTAACAGAGAACCCCTTGGGGCACTCACCTCTCGTGGACTGCTCACAGTGTGTCTAGCACAATATGAGATGCTCTCCCAATACACTTCAGAGAGGTGAAGCAACGTTAAGGTTTCCAAAGGCAAGAGGCAATTTCTCTGTATAGATCTACATGGAAAAGCTGATTCCAGCCCCAAATGAGAGAGTCCACCTTTAGTTTTCTCACGCATGGAGAGCTGATGTGTGATTTTACTTTCCTGAGCAAGTGGGTTGGTGGTCTGCATCTAGTCCTGTGTTTTTGATAAGAAAATCAATGGGGGTGTGGGTGGAGCCTTGTTTTGTCCCTGGGGACAGCACCCGAGTACTTACTCTAGTCCCGTGTGCTTAGATTTTCTTGCCTAGGAGAGTTCAAAACCTTTGGCTTTAGTTTGATTTCTTTTTCTTAAAGATTTACTGATTTATTTAAAATTAATTAATTAATTTTTATTTATTTATTTATTTGCTTTTTCAAGACAAGAGTTTCTCTGTGGACTTGGCTGTCCTGGAACTCACTCTGGCCTCAAACTCAGAGATCCACTTGCCTCTGCCTCCCAAGTGCTGGGATCAAAGGCATGTACCACCACCACCACCTGGCTTAAAGATTTATTTTTACACGTGTGTGAATACTGTGTGTGCTGGTACCCCGAGGCCAGAAGAAAGTGTTAGATCCCTTGGAACTGGAGTTATAGGTATTTACGAGCCACCAGATGTAGGTGCTGGAAACTGGCCTCAGGACCTCTGGAAGATCAGCAAGCGCTCTTAACCACAGAGTCATCTCACCAGCCCCTTTGGCTTGATAATTGATTTGTTTTTAGTAATGAAGCTCCTTCAAACAAACACTCAGACATATAGCAAGCAGAAAATAACTCAGGATTTCACTAACTCAGATTTATTTGGTAACTTCACAGTAGTAACATTTAACTCTGTAGTCTGTTGATAAGTGTAACAGTGAAGCTATTCCCAGGAACACAAAGCCACACGGAGTCAGGAACAATCACATCACTGTGGCTGGTCAGTGTTGAGAAATATATTTCCTAAAGATAAACCATCACAAATGATGACTTTAAAAAAAAAATACCACTCTTACAACTTCTTATTTTTCAGTTAAACTAAGCCACAACCCAGAAGAACAGGTCATCATTTCGAAGTCAAGTTGACTAACAGTCACCAACCACTTCTGGGATACTTACCACAGATGTGGACGACCAGCTAGTGCACACTTATTCCAAAACGAGCCAAAATGCTTCCTGACTGTAGGAGCATCCTGACTGGAATGGAAGTCTGTTACTTCCTGACTTGTTTCCATACAACAACAGTCAGGAGAACATGCATTGAGCCAACCTATCACAAAAATACCAAGATCCTTCACGTACCGAGGGGTTTCTAAGTTCCAAACGTTACCCAAAGCACTTAAAATGCATTATGTTATTCGATCCTAATGGCAGCCCATTTTTAGATAAGGTAACTGATGTTCAGAGAAACTAGGCAACTTGCTAACAGCTCACAGTGATGTACATTAAGTGTGCCTGCACTCTGCCTGGCATGTAACTAAGCAGTGTTTGTTTATGGTGCCCTAGTGCACTTGACCTGGCACATACTCACAAGACACTACAGCTTTTCACGTCTATGCACAACTACAGGACAGTTGGAATGTGTACACCATTGCCAGCAGGGAGCTTTGTTCCGCAGCCATGGGTCAGCCTGGAAACAAAAGCAAGCTTGGTGAACACTGATATGCCGAGACTTGGTCATTAGCACACCTGACACTACCTGCTGGGTGTTAGAGATTTAAGGAGTTTAAAACACACTTGCTTAAAATGAATCCTCTACAGAACTAAGAAAGCACATCTGAGTGACACACAGCGGAAGGTGGATTCCTTGTTCTGGGCTTCTGTTCCAGGATCACTTCTGAGCATTTTGGTGCTGAGACCATTTAACTCAGTTGACCTTTGCTTCTTTCTCTTTATGACGTGTACCACAAGCACCACCCCTCCTCCTCACATACATACATGCATGCAAGCATATACACACCCTATGGAGAGTAGATTGCTGCACACAGTAAGTAGGATATGTGTGTTTCACTTAAGTTGTTGTTGTTTTTAAATAAGATCAGTTTATCCTTCTATGGTATGAGTAAACATTGGTCTACTTGGTTTGGTTTTTAAAAAATTACATGCGTGTGTAATTTTTTAAAAAATTAGTGTGTGTGTGTGTGTGTAATGACAGCTTGCAGGAATTGGTTCTCTCCTTCCACCCTGTGGGTTATGGGGATCAAACCTATCTGGAAGAGGGATATAGAGAAAAAGAAGAGAGAAAGCCACGAGTAGGTACAGGGTTAGCATGCAGCCACATGGAGAGAGTGAAATAGCTCAAAGTGCTAGATAATGTGTACTTAGGCCTGGTCCAGCAGCCAAAACAAAAAAAGATAAAGCAAAAATTACATTTCATAGTGGTTCTGTAGTGACTGTACGGATAGCAGGGATTCTGAGAAGGAAAAGTATATGACCTCACTAAAGGGATAATTATTCCTCCCATCTCATTGGCATAGAGTTAGGTGAATCTGCCTTCCTGATGGGCAGTCCACTTGCCAGGTGATGGACTGCCCAACTTGATTAACTCTTATGTCTTGGTTAGCCTGAACTGGTAGGTCTTTGTCTAGGCAAGAGGTAGATTCCATTCTTCTGACCAGAAGGCAATAGTTTTCTCTTAATGAGACTCAGAAAAGCCCTGATCAAGGCTACTGTAAATTTCCCCCTCTGATGAGATAACCCTGAAATCATTTAGGAGATGGACTAAAATTGGGGAACAGATATAAGCCATTTTATCATGAAAAATCTATGGACCTAATTCTAAAGCAATCCACAAATAGATTAGTGTCTGGCGGAAGGTCCCACCCTCAGGTGTAACCTTCAGGAAGGGGGCAATGGGAAGTCAGAGCTCCTTGTGGCATTCGTGGACCAGAGAACCAGGGACACTTTTGAAATGCCTGGAAACTGCCCAGCCAGGTTCTTTTCTAAAGATTTATTTGTTTTTATTTTACATGTATGATCTGCATGTATGTATGCATGTATGTATGTATGTATGTATGCCACATGTGCACAGTGCCCAAAGAGACCAGAAGAAGGTTTGGATCCCCTGAAACCAGAGTTATAGATAGCTGTGAACCACTGCATGGGTGCTGGGACCTGAACTCCTCTGAAAAAATAGCAAGAGTGTTTAATGGCCGAGCATCTCTCCTGCCCCTGCCTGGCCAGTTTCTATCTCCTGTTAACATTATTGCTCCCTCTGAAGAGACTGGCAAACAACTTGTCCAACCGAGCTATCTGGCCAACTCTCGTGTACTTAAAGGAAACTAAAGTTCAGGAGTTTTAGGTATGTGTAGGAACTTAGTCTTGTATTTTTTTTTTTTTTAAGCAATCTATTTAGAGTCCATTAAACTTCAGGCTTTTTTTTTTTTTTTTCTCAGAAAGAAAAACTGAGATTGGGATCTAGTGGTGGTATATTCCTCTAATCTCAGAACTCCGAACTTGGGAGGCTAAGGCAGGAGGACTGCCAGCTGAAGGCTAGCCTGAGCTATAAGGTGAGACCCTATCAAAACAAAACAAAAGAAAAAAAGATAAACAAGAAAACCTTCGGTCCTAATGTTTGACTTCAGTTTGGCACTTTAAGAAGAGTCCACTGAAATGGGATTAGCCTTGTCAAGTGTTATCCCTATGCCCACCAGATCAGGACGGAGTGGGGATGTCTCTCAGCTGTTCCTCGAACTGTCCCAACGGCCAGAGCCCTCCCTTTCGCCAGGCTCCTCCCTGCTCTCATGTTCAAAGTAGGCCTCTTCTTCTTCTTCCTCACGTATCACCTTCATCAGCTGCAGAAAGGTGGGTAGCGGGCCATGATCCTTCAGTTCCCGTAGCCTGCACCACAGAACATTGCTAAGGTTGGCTCCAGCCATGACCTGCTCCAGGCGTACCTGGTCAGCAATGTTCCGGGGGATGGCCCTTTTTTCCACAGCTCTCCGGAGCAGAGTTTCCAACCGGAGCACATAGGCTGAGATTTTCTCTCCTTCTTGCTGATAAGTTTTCAGATATTTTACCTGTGAAGTTCTACGACTCTCCATGCTCCCAAACACCTGTTTGAAGGCCTCCAGACATCCTTCCGCACTGATGGAAGGGTTGTCTGCCTGTACTATGTGCATGAGGTCCAGGGCAGGGCCACGGAGGCTCTCCGTCACCCACCTTTTCTTTTCTTCCTCAGGGATGGGCCACTCTTTGGCTATCTCAGTGGCCTGTTCCAACCAGACCTCAAAGGGCTCCTCCTCTGGGGCAGCTACTGTGCTCCCAGAGAATACTCTCAGCTTACAGTACCTCACAGGCAACAGAGGCCTCTGGGCATGAACCATTGCCTGCCCCACCAAGTGGGCCAGTAACTCAGGGGATGTGCAGGGTGTGGTAGCTGGAGACACTCCCTCATGCTTGAGGGCTCGGAACATCCCTGCGACCGTCTGCCCTTCTTTTTCTAGAAAGAGGTTCAGTCTTTGGAGAAACTCAGTGTCCTGATTAGGGGTCTTGAAGATCACTTTCCAGACACCCCCCTTTCCCTGCACCTCACTGGGGACCACAGACATATCCGTGTCCTCCATAAGTTCTAGTAAGACAGCACTGGTGTTGTCTTGCTTCTGGAATATCTTGCCTAGTAGCCGGTAGCTGCTGACACACTTCAGCGCCTCCTGGAGGACTGTCTGGATCTCAGGCTCACCACAGTCCATGGGAATGCCAATCACCAACAGTGACTTCTGGACATCTACACCCATAATCTTGCACCACTCCTCCAGCAAGGCCACTGCCATTGTCCCAGGATATGCTTTTCACTTGGTCTCCAAGCAGCTCAAAGCCTTGTGGACCAAATGCCTTGTCTCTTCACCCAGTAGCAAGCACTAGACACTACCTGTCTGTCTTCAGACCCACAGCAAGGTTGATGGGTCCCACTGTGTAGGTAGGGTGGGCTGTTACTCTGCAGTGGATTTGCTGCTGTTTCTGAGGGCCAGCTGCGTGGTGCTGACTCTTGTCACTGGGAGACACCTGGAACAACTGCTTTTCCCACCATCTCCTGGTTTCTGTCACTTCGCCTCTCTCAAGTCAGTGGGGAGGTGGCTTCCACTCTAGCACACAACTCTGGGGAGTCACACAGCAAGATGGCAAGGACTTCTAGGGAAACAGAGGCTCATTTTGACTACACAGCCCTCTACTTCACAGGACACACCCACACTGTAGTTTGGGGTAGAACTAGGGGTGGACCAAGGGCTCTGACTCCCACTGCGCCTGTGTCTGCCCCACTCTGGCGAACCCCTTCTTTGCGGACTGTACTTTTTCCCTGTGTGGATCAGCTAACATCCATTTTTTTCCACCCTGAAAGCTCCGTCAGTGAGCAGGATTCAAGACCCTTCACCATTCAAAAGATGAAATTAGGAGGTGTAGTTAAATACCTGTTTATGTGTTTCAGAATGTTCTTCAAGAACCAAGGAGCCAACAGCTCAGCTTCCAGATTAGGAAGATGTCACATACCTCTATACAGTAGGATGTATATGTCTTCAGCCACGTCAAGCTGTCCTGTTACAAATAAACATGAATAACATTTTTTAGGCCTAAAATCTAGTAACAAAGATTAATGTACTTATTAAAAATGTAACAGTTTAGTAAAGGATGAAAGAAATGACAGCCCTCTGAATTTGATGGAACATCCTAAACAGGACAGAGTCACTACACTTCTTTGAAGAAAAGCCCATGTAGTTCGGGGGCTGCTCCTCAGTTTGCAAAGTGCTTGCCTAGAAGAAGCCTATAGGAAGCCTGGGGTTCAATTTCCAGCACCATATAAACTGGGCATGATGGTACATCTCTGTAATCCCAGCACTTGAAAGCTGGAGACAGGAGGATCAGGAGTTTTGGATCATTCTTAGCCACACAGGGAGTGTGAGGCCAGCCTGGGCTACATGAGAACCATCTTTAAAAACAAATCCAACTGAATTGTGTTTGGTGGTACATCCAACATTTGTGAAGTTGAAGCAAGAGGACTTCAAATTTGAAGTCAATCTGGGCTACATAGAGAAGTCACGTCTCAAAAGAAGAAGACACAAACAAAACTAAACAGAATCATTCAAACACTCAAGAGTAATTAAAAACAGGTATAACAGAAAATGCAAATCTCAGAAAAAGAAGTACACTTTGGAGTTACGAGTCAGTCCTCTTTGATTGTGTCTAGCTAGGCTTTTCAAGGGCCACACATGGTAAGTTACTAACCAAACTCTTCCTGTGGTGCACTGAATGAGAATGGGCCTCATATATTCAAATGCTTGGTCCTTAGCTGGTGGAACTGTTTGAGAAGGATTTTGGAGGAGGTGCGTCACTAGGGGTGGGCTTTAAAATTTTAAAAGCTCATACCATTCCCACTGTCAGTCTGTGTCCCATGCTTGTGGGTCAGATATAAGCTCTCAGCTACTGCTCTAGCACCATCCCTCCCTGCCTGCTGCCAGATTCCTGGCATGATGGTCATGAACTCACCCTCTGAGACTGTAAGCCCCCATTGAATGCTTTCTCCAATAGGTTGCCTTGGTCAGGATGCTTTTGTCAAAGAAACAGAAAAGTAACTAAGACATTTAAATTTGACATTGGCATTTAAATTTGACTGGGCCATTGAGAAAAGGGCAGAAAGCAGAAAACATATCCACTGCAGAGTGACGTGTGCATCAAGCATGCTTGCTCTGCAGGGCTGGGGAGACCTAAGAATGTAAAAGGGAGTGCTCCTGGTGACAGACAGTGTGGTCACTTAGCCATGAGGGTGCCTCCAGAGAAACAGCTTCCTAATTGGCTGACTGTCACAGAGTGCCATGACTAGACCATGCATTCTTATGGGGCCCATGTGGTAATGCCAACTAAAATGTAATTTGGTGCTCGACTGGGCCTCTCAGAGATTTGTAGAGGGTATGTTAGGATGCTACAACCATTTCCCTCTTGGTCTAAACATTTCCCATCACTCTGAAGGAGGCCGTATGCCACAGATGCTGGCCTTAACTATGGCAGCAGCAGGAGCAGATTCAGTCTTCCTGGAAGGTGCTGAAGGCTGCTCCACTGTGCCAGAACCAGGAGAGCAAGATGCTGCCTCACTCTGTGTCTGGCAGCATGGGGGCCCGGAACTTCAGACAAATCCAGGCCTGAGATTTCCTTGTAAATATGGGCGTGAACTTCCTCTGCTTGGAGTTATTTGGAGGAATGAGAGATGTAAAGAGCACTGGAGGGGCTGAGACTGTAGCTCAGTTGGTGGAGTGCTTGTCACTGTGCACAAAGCTTTAGGTTAGATCCTCAGCACTGCATAGGCCAGACATCATGGCACATGCCATTATCCCAGCACTTCAGTGGTGAAGGCAGGTGAATCAGAAGTTTAACTCCCTTGGCTACATAGGGAGTTTGAGGTCAGCCTGGGCTTACATACAGACCTTGTCTCAGAAAGAGAAAAAAAAAAAAAGACACGCCAGTCAGTGGTGGCACATGCCTTTAATCCTAACACTTGAGAAACAGAGGTAGGCAGAATTCTGTGAGTTCCAGGCCAGCCTGGTCTACAGAGTATAGCCAGAGTTGTTACACAGAGAAACCCTGTCTTGAAAAACTGAAACAAACAGAAAACGAACAAACAAAAACCACAACCAACCAAACAAAAGGCACTGAATGCCCAGATCCATTAAAAAAAAAAAATCATGCTAAAATCCTCTAGCCTTTGAGACCTTTAACCCAGTGGTAATCATACCTACAAGGGATGATCTTCAATAAAAAAGGTCCCAGGCATCTGGAGCGATTGCTCAGTGGTTAGAAGCTCAGGTTTGGGTCCTAGCGCCCACATGTTGGCTGACTCTGTAACTTCAATTCCAGGGGATCTGGCACTTTTGTCTGGCCTCCAACGGCCCCAGGCATGTACACAGCACATGCACATACATTCAAGCAAAACACCCACATACATAAGATGAAAGTTAACTAAAAAAGGTTTTAAGACCTTAAGTGAAACACCCTTGATGTACAGCAAAGCCCCTAGAGAAATGGAAGAGTGCAAACATTTTGTACTTTTCTCACTAAAGGGGCCTACAGGATAACCTGTTGAAGGAACCAGGCCGGGGAGGGGGTGGGGGTGGGTGGGGTAAAGGCCTAGAATTACTGAGTGCTTCAAGTAGACACATGACCCTAGGCATAACGCCTTCTAAACTGGTGTCCTAACTTGGAAGGCAGGGAGGATGAAAGACTTCTTCACCTCAGGGCTTTAGTGCAGCATTGATAATTCCAGTGGAAGCTTTATATTAAAATGCCAATCACATCTGGTGCATCTGGAGAGTCCATAGGCCCTCCTCACATGGAGTCTTTTCAGCTCCTACAGGATGGTGTGTGTGTGTGTGTGTGTGTGTGTGTGTACACGCACAAACTACAATTCCATCCATCAAGCTATCTCCAGCAATGGGGGTGTTGGTATCTGCATGCAATCGTTCCTAAGCAAAGGCTGACAATGGGACTGATTTCTTGGTCACAACGCCCTGTGAGAACACGTTGCAGTAAACTGCCTCTCCTAGACCAAACCCATCCATCTTAGTGAGTATGCTCAGATCTCCCTCCAGAACCCCTAAAGGATGGGCAACACTTCTGCAGGTTTCAGCCACTCTGGAAAAACAGGAAGGACTTAATGCACCTGAGCCAGGACCAGGAGGTGGGACTAAGCAAGGAAAAGCCTCGAACCTGGTGGCTGAACCGTGTGCACGCGCACACACGCCAAATCTCCACACTTTGGCTCCCCACAATTCACAGCATGTAACCCTCCTCTAAACCGCAACGTGCTTCTACCCTCCATGCAAACCGCTGCGGCCCTAGAGAAGAAGCATCTTGCAAACTCGCGGTCCTCTGGCGCAGCGTGCAACAGGGGCGGGGGAGCTAGGCGGGGCGACTTGAAAGCAAAGGATGAGTCTGAATGTGCTTCGGTCGGCTTAGTTCCCAACCATTTTGGGTGGGAGTGAGGGTAACCAGGGTGTGTGTGTGTGTGTGTGTGTGTGTAGGTATGTGTAGGTGTGTAGGGGTGGGAGATATCAAATCCAGGACTCTTCTGAGCCTTTCCTGGGGCACTGGCCTATCTGCAGGGCATGGCCCTTTCAGATTACGTTGAGGGTCCTCAGTCTCTATGCTGAGGCGCAATCCGCAGCCTGCATTCTTTACGATGTCTCCCCCTGCACCACAGGCTTGCTGCTTTTTCCCGGTTATCGCTTCCATTTGCTACGCCCCTCTGCTTTTTCGCCCCCGCCATGTTGTGAGCCCCACCTCCCAACCACAGCGGCTGCAAGCAGGAAGAACGTTCTCCTTTCCTTCTGCTCCTTGCAGTGCGCGCCCAGGCCCCGGGTCGTAGGTAAACTGAAGCGTTGGTACCGGATATTTGGTTATCCCCAAGTAGACCTTGTTGTTTCCAGTGTCACCCCTCCCCAGTTTCCAAGAGCCTGCAGGCTTGACCCTTGGCTCCCCCAATCCTCAGCTCTCACCCGAGGCCAGGGGAGCTCCAGGGCCACCTTAGCAATGCATTGAGGCAGGTAGGGGAGAGGGGCCAGGGTCTGCTCCTTCGGGTCCTTGCCCAGCAGTAGCTATCCGACACTCACCCTGGCGCCGAGAACGGTCTGTCGGGCGGCTGCTGCGCGTCCATTAGCGGGTGGAGTGGCCGCTTCACTTCCGGAGCGCGGGCTCGGGGCGCCCCCCACCCCCTCGTACCCTCCCTTCTCCGTCTCCTCCTTCTGAGTCCCCTCCCTCCTTGTCCCCTCCCTTCTGCTCCTGCGTTCCGCCCGCCCCGCCCCGCCCCGCCCCGCGCTGCCGGGAACTGGCATCCTCTGCCGCAGCGACCGCCCGCTCAGATCCAACTTTGCTCGGAGGTGGCGTGGCGGCGCCGGGGGGCGTGGGCAGGGAGGGAGAAAGCGAGGTCAGGAGGAGGGACCGCGAGGGGTGGGTCGCCTGTTCGCCAGCCCTCCATCCTTTCTGTGCACCTTGCGGTAGGCAGGGAGCGGCAGCCGCGGCGGCAGCAAGAGGCTAGTGCACACCCAACCAGGGAGACTTAGGGAACCACGGACGGACGGACAGACAGACAGGACCTTCCCCAGCGCCCCCCGAGCCATGGCCGAGAGAAAGCAATCTGGGAAGGCAGCAGAAGACGAAGAGGTCCCTGCCTTTTTTAAAAACCTGGGCTCGGGCAGTCCCAAGCCGCGGCAGAAATTCTGCGGCATGTTCTGCCCTGTGGAAGGGTCTTCGGAGAACAAGACCATCGATTTCGATTCGCTTTCAGTGGGCCGGGGCTCCGGGCAGGTGGTGGCTCAGCAGCGGGATGTCGCCCACTTGGGCCCCGACCCGCACCGGCAGAGCCGGCGTGCCAGCGGGGAGCCATCTGTTGAATCGAGCCGGAAGGTGGAGATCAGGCGGGCCTCGGGCAAGGAAGCCCTGCAAAACATCTACGATCAGGTTGGTATGGAGGGTGGGTGGGAATGGAGCGCGGGGCTGGCCCCTGGCTTGTAGCGGAGGACCGAGCATCCCCGCGTGGCAGCCAGCACGCGGTGTCAAGAGCTCTGCCTCCCGCATCTGCACGCGCACCGCGCCCTGCCCACCCGTTCACCGCGCAGGGTGCGGCGAGGCACGGGTTCGCCAGTGGGCGTCTGAGCTCCCACAAAGGCTGCCCTCTTCTCCTTGTGTCTGGGAGGTGGGAAACTCGCGTCAGGGACCAGCTGATCCCCGGGCTGGAGGCGTCGAGTGGCGATTGGGGTGGACCACTGTGCTGTTCTTAAATCCTCCCGGGCGGCATCCGATTGCAGCTGCGGCTCAGTGCCCCACCCTTTTTTGATGCAGCTCAAAGAGAGCAGTGGAAGGCTACAGTGAAGGCTAGAGGACTCCCTTGGGCTCCGTAGGGACAGACAGGGGCTTACAAGGCTACTCTGTGTGGCAAGGTCTCCGCCTCGAGTGCGCTCAGCATCCTGGTCCTGAGCTCGGAGGTCAGGACCACGGCCAGCGCCCGAAGCCTCTTACCAGTGCCTGGACTGTGTTCCGCAGCCAGTGAAGAGTTGGAGAGGCTGTGATGTCACCGAGGAAAGCTAGATAGCCCATGTGGAGAACAAAGTTCTGCTAAGTGTCTCGGCAAGGGCTTCCCAGAGCGCTTCCCCAGCGCTATATGGGAGGGCACTTTGGGAATGGGGAGTGACTACATGGATTATATCCAAAGAGCCAAAAAGGAAAGGAAAAATGAGGGTGGGAGGGGAGGACTCACATTTGAAGACAAGACCCCCTGATTGTGTTAATGGTGAGACAAAGAAGGCTAGCTTGGTTATCCTTCGTCATGGAAAATGTTTGACAAGGGTCAGTAATTTCCAGCAGTGCACGTTTCAAGTCCAGGGGTCTTTTCACACACATTTGCCTCCATTTCAGGGTGATGTTTATGCTCGTATAATATTTTTTTCACAGCTTTAATGCCTCAACTGATCGTTTACAGTGCACAGTGTCTTAACGGTCGGTTGCTGCTTCTCTCCCATGCTCGTGGTGAAGATAGAAAACCAATCTACGAATGACTTTATATTGAATCCCGTGTGCCTTCCCTTCTAGGGCAAGAGGAAGGTTAGTCCTAAAGGCGCTTCCTTTCAGACAGCCACTGGGGAAGTTGGGGATGGTCTGAACATGCTCACTGGGGAGGTGGGGGGAGCTTGCCCAGCATTCAGGTTGTGTGCTACAGAGAAAGCCTCAGAGAACAGCTCTGGGGGCAATGATTGGGACACAGCTTCCCCCTTTCCTGACACAGCAGGGCGTTCTAGCTTTTGACTTTCCTAGGATCATTTCTCACCAAAGGAGGTGGCAGGGGTGGAGAGACTATTTCCTTTTATTTTTGTAAGGTGAAGCAAGTAATCATTTATTTTATACCCATCCATCTTCTGATTTTTATATTTATATTTCGCTAAGAGGCAACTAGAATCTAAATCCAAAAAGCTTGTTTTGTTCCAGGTGGTCAATTAAAGCAAATGTTTCTTTTTTCTTTTTTCTTTTGAGACAGAATCTCACTTTGCAGTCCAAGCTGGACTTGAATTCATGACAACCCCAGTACCTCTTGGGTGGTGGCATTACAGATCTGAGCCACCATGATCACCAGCTTGCTCTGGCTGTCTTTCTGTCTGCCTTTTTGCCTGTCTGCCTGTCTGTCTGTCTATCTATCTATCTATCTATCTATCTATCTATCTATCTATCTTTCCTTTCTTTTTCTTTGTGGTGCTGAGGCCTGAACCCAGGGACTGTGCATGCTAAACAAGTGTTATATCACTGAGCTATATCCTTAACCAAATGTTTTGATATTGTACTAAAATCTGGGTAAGTATAGAATGAGTTCTTATGGAAGTATGCTGGTGAAAAATCAAGATCACACAACACTGAGGCTGAGTGAGCACTCTCAAGCAGGCAAGCTGTAAGGGACATCCCAACAGCCTGGAGGGAACAGGACTGCACCTGGAGGATCTATAAGAAAACATGTAAAGGTGACAAATTAGGTGACCTCAGTACAACAAAGGCAGCATATTAATATTCTAGTCTGAAAGGCAGCTTTGCTGACTGGAGAATCAGGAGTAATTATTGGAACAGACCCCAAATTTAACAGAAACTCTAAATTGCAAATCTGAGGCACATAAAAGGGAGGGGGCAACTTGCAGACAAAAGTGCCAGACTAAATCCTTGGGTACTTTTAATCCTGGAAATCCATCTCTTCCTCAGCTTCCTGGTTATTAGTTCAAGACATTGACTCTGGCTCGGCCTTTGTACAGCCTTCTCTGGCTCATTTGTCACAAACAGGGCACTCCTGGGCTTTTGTCATTCATAACTAGGGACATTTACCCAGCTTGGTGCTTGCAATATATGAATTTTTCATGTTTCACAAGAGGCTGTGCATATATCTATAATGATGGTGACTTCTGAAAGCTCAATTGGCTCACTCCTTTGACAGAATTGGTGATTATTGCTTGTATTTAACTCATGAGCAGTGTGTCTTCAGACCTTTGGGGCATTCCTCTATAAGCCCTGGCACAGAGAAGAGTAGATGGAATGAGTCATGTTTTCTTCTTCTCTCTTAAAGCTGTGCTTGTAAGGAATCTTAAGGATGGTCAGAGTTGCTGGGCATAATGGCACATACTTTTAATCCAGCACTGTGGAGGCAGATGCAGGTGGACCTTGAAAAGTTCAAGAGCAGCTTGATCTACACAGTGAGTTCTAGGTCAGCCAGGGCTGCATGACAAGATCCTGTCTCAAAAGAGAAAGAAAGAAAGAAAGAAAGAAAGAAAGAAAGAAAGAAAGAAAGAAAGAAAGAGAGAAAAAGAGAAGAATGATTTGCTTACTCACCACACCATGAATCCACTGTTTTAGAAAGGCTAAGAAAGGTCCAGAACAGGTTCCTTTTTTTTTGATGGGAAACTATCATTTATATATATAAAAGTTACAAACATAACTCACGTTATTAGTAGCAATTTACAGAGGGTAGAAGACAAGGCATATAAATACACACAGTAGGTCTTGCTTGCCCCGCGGATGCGTCTCTGCCTGTCCCCACCCAATCTCTGCTCAGACAACTGATCAGTGGCTGCTCAGGGCCTTCTGCTCCAGGATGGCCAGCAGGGTCAGCCAGTGAAGAACTCAGGAGGAGAGGAGGAAAGTAAATGATATTTTCTAACCTGATGTGTCGCTTGGCTGAATGCCACAGATCCTCTCAAGTCCTTACACTGCCGCTTCCTTAGATCTCCAGAACAGGTTCCTTAGCCACGTCACTTATGGGAGATGAAAGGGGCTAGTGGATTTATTCCCAGGGACTATGAAGCATGATGCACGATGAGAGCAGGCCATAACCAGAAAGCACTAGGAGTGATTTGCCCCAAAAGAGCCAGTGGAAGGGTTAGGAATAAGGGAAGCTTCTGTCTTGTTGTTTCTCTTTCCCATGTGTTTCCAAGAGGCCAGTTTGGGATGCAACGAAGTTATATTGATTCCTAGCTATGAAGGACCCGAGCCATTTGGGATAAAGAACAAAAGTACAGCTGTTTTGGAGTGTTTGTAAGCCTCACATCACTATAACAAAAACCTGGAGTGGGGTACTTATGACGTAAAAAAAGAGATTTGTTCCGTCTTATCGTTCTGGAAGTTCAGGTCTAAGATCAGGTTGCTTTATGGGTTTGGCAATGGGGACAGACAGACAGACAGACAGACAGACACACATGCACACACACACACACAGAGAGAGACAGAGAGAGAGCAAGAGAGAGACAGAGACAGAGACAGAGAGACAGAGAGACAGAGAGAGAATAATTGCCCTTTGAGGGCACACTCACAATGACATTGGGACTTCTTATGAAATCCTACTTAAAGGTCTATAACACCTCTCCAGGGATCCAGACTTCACACAAACCTTTGGAGGACATTTAGTGCTTACCCATTGCAACTGGACTGCTTGCCAGTGAACATGGGTCTTTGAGCTCCACCCTTTCTCCTAGGATCCCTCTCTTCCACTGGAGTTGTGATTATATGATTAGGTCAGAAACATCCTCTCATCCTAGGATACCATATCCTGAACCCTTTTCAAGGAAGTTTTGGGTTCATTTAACTATGAACAACCTGTGCAAATGACTACCAAGCTGGGGAAATAACTGTCCCCTGTTCTAGGGAAGGTGCCCTGTAGAGTTCTATTGAGCTTGGCAGCATCACAATGTGGCTCAAAAGTGTCCCATAAGATATTTACAGGAAACTTAAATCCTAGTGTAGTGCTGTCTTGGGAAGCAAGGCCAATGGGAACATCCTACCCTTCGTTGTCCACATTGATGATAGGAGGGTCCAGACTCTGGACTTGTGTACCATTTCCTCTTTTGCCCGTGTGATGCTTTCTGCCATGTCATACGGCAATGATGAAGGTTTATGGTGTAATCTTAGACTTCCCAGCCTCTGGATCCAAGCACCAAATGTAATTCTCATTTAGGACTGAGGAAATGGTCTAGTCGATAAAGTGCTTGCTGCATAAACATGAGGACCTGAGTTAATCCTCAGTGAAAACAGAAAAAAAAATGAGTGTGGGCTGAGCATCATGGTGCACACTTTTAATTCTAGTACTTGGGAGGCAGAGGCAGGCAGATCATCTCTGTGAGTTCAAGACCAGTCTGGTCTTTAATGTTTTCCAGAACAGTTTTGGCTACTGTCTTAGGGTTTCTATTCCTACACAAACATCATGACCAAGAAGGAAGTTGGGGGAGGAAAGGATTTAGTCAACTTACACTTCTACATTGCTGTTAATCACCAAAGGAAGTCAGAACTGGAACTCAAGTAGGTCAGCAAGCAGGAGCTGATGCAGAGGCCATGGAGGGATGTTACTTACTGCCTTGCTTCCCCTGGCTTGCTCAGATTGCTTTCTTATAGAACCAGTCCAGGGATGGCACCACCCACACTGGGCCCTCCCACCCTTGATC